GAGTTCCACCTCCTCCGAACTAACGTCCAAAATCTGAGACCTCCTGTGTTCACTGCATTTAAATACTAATCCCTATTTATGTACCGAGTACAGGCAACGGGCATTTAGGTAGGAGGCAGCTGAGAAAGAAAGGGGACTTTTTCCAGATGAGAAATCATCAACAGTTTAGCATCTTCTAACGACACAGGCTTCTTAACTGGTCTACCTGCAATAAACACTCGGGATCCTTTTTGTTTGCATGGAATTAGAATGGAATTTTCTGTATACCTGCTGGAATTTTTCTGGGGAAATGATAATGCAGGATTATCTTGAAGATAAAACAATCATAGAATCACAGAATTAAAAAAATCAAATTCACGGCAATAGCATTGACTCTACAGAAGCGCATGCAGGTGAAAGAGCCACTCCCTCTCTCAGATAAAACATGCAGCGTTCTTCAGTCAGGTGGAAGGAACTAAATATTCTGCAATTCCACAGATGAAAGCCAGTTGCCTGGCTCAACTGTGTGACTGTAATGTGCACAAACCAAAAATGGACCTTGTAATACGACTGGCAAGACTGCTCCATTGCCCCCGTGTATCAGCTTCCACACGACTGCATCCAGTGCAGCACAGCTGAATATGTTTACCTTGAATAACTTATTTGTAAGCACTGTTGCCAGAATATTTTATTATCTGAGCTATTGCTCAGAAATTTTTTTAAATGTCTGATTATTCAAAACTGGAAGCAGCTGTATGGTTATGAAATGTAAGTAATCCTTTACAAATTAAAAAAATGTCCAATAGCCAGGAAAACCCTATTGGCATTTTCATTTCAAGAGATCCAAACATTAACTGTTTTTCCCAAGTAAGAAGTGGCTTATGCTACTGCTGTTTTGTTATAGTAATTAAGGCCTTCTGATGGTTTAAAAGATTTTTCGCTCACAAGTAAAGAAAAATAAAAGTAATCAAGCACAGTATGATCACTCAAACCCTAATTCACTGATAATGGCATAGCGAATTCTTCTTGAGCTACAAACCAGGCAGCTTCAAGTTTCAGTGACGGATGGGGTCTTCCTCTTCAAAATTCTTCTGGACTTTACAGTGGTATATCCAGTCCTATTCGAACTGGCATGCTCCTTTACTGCTCGTTTCTCTCCTCAGTCACGGCATTATTATTAATGCACTCTGCAACTATTTGTACTTAAAATTACTTGGTTTTCAGCCCACTAACCAGTCTTAAAATGCAAATTTACTACTTTGTCTCTCAGGCTTTGAAAGAAGATTTTGAAGTGTCTCATGTGGAATACCCAAACACCATGAGTACACTTTTTCCCCTGTCGCTGCTAAAATTCAATACATTTTCCCCAAATAATTAAAAAGTCACTAGCGAGATCAGTTCTTAACACCTGTTGAAAAGGGCTCCAACACGAATGACTTTATAATTTTAACTCTCTGAAGCTACTGCATACATTATTTCATTTATTATTCAGAAGATATTTTTCATAAATAAGCAGCACGGCTGGAGCAAAACGAAGACTATGAGCTCAGACTATTTACTAGTAGCAGCGCAACAGTTCAATGTTCTCCACACTAATCATAAGCAGAAGGGCTTCTTTTCTCCTCTGCCATTTTAGACTCACAATGATGGGCTCCCCCGAGTTGCTGCCAGCCGCATTTCCTTCTCTGCCTGCCTGGCGACAGATCCCGGACCAGGGCATCGTCTGCAGAGAACCACCAATACCCGCGCCCCCCGAATTTTGCTACACTCAGATGAAGAAAAGCAGAGAAGAAAAAAGACGCAGAGGTGGCACGGACACACAGATGTTTCCCAGTGATTGAGAAATTTAGTGCCCATACTCACATGCGAACAAAGAGCGACTGTTTTGCTGCCAGGCCGGGAGAAGAGTACTTTTCAACCAGCGCCAGAGTGCTGAAGCCAAACTTGTGAATGGGCTCATTGGAATCCAAGGGTGGAAAATCTGTGTCAACCTCACCGTCATCCTCGGCAATATGGAGACAGTAGGCATTGACGTTGTCACTGAAACAAAGACAAAACGAGTTCATTCAGGAGGGAAGCCAGACAGCCGATCGATACCAGTTGCTAAATGCCGTAGGAAACAAAGCAGCAGACACGCCTAGTACAGGAGCAATATACTTAAAAGCCGCTGATGGCATGTATATAAATATGTCCCAAAGTCCCAACAACATCTTGCTACCATGACCATGTGGTAATAGAAAAAACCCCAAAACCTCAGAGTAAAGCAGTAAGCCTTACTTCATCGTTAACTGAACTGCAAGCAGAAGAGTGTCAGTGATTAAAATACACCCAGGTCTATAAAAGTTTCATGACTTCATAAAGCTGGAAGCAGTACTTCTCCATTTGTGAAAATTTATTTATTTATATGACCATTCCATTCCAGAGTTAAAGACAAACAAGCAGCGTCTATCTATCTTTTCATAGATCAAGCAACTGTGGAAAAGTTCACTGATCATACGCTTGAAAAGCGGCGAAGGCTCTGGGCAGGTAAACAGTGCCAGGAAAAGTAAAAAATCTGTTCAACATAGTGGCAATGACTAGTAGAAAAGCTACCTTTCCTAAATGGCTAAGAAGTCCAATCACTAAAAACAGTTAAAAATGAGTATAGACTAACAAGCAGAACTAAATAACACAGAAAGTTTTAAACAAATACAGCGTGAAGAAAATACGAAAGAAAAATCTAAGCTTCTTTCTTTCCACAAACAGAAGCCCATAGGGAAATAACTACCCATATATACCAAACAGAGTATTAATCATATTCTCCTAATATTAAAATCTATTTCAAATGCTAACGTTTAGATTATTGAGCTGAAAATAAGTATTCTTTCTCATTGTAAATGTGCCAGCATTCAGACATTTTCCACAGCCATGAAGTATAGCTTGAATGTTCACGTGGCAGTACGTTTCTAAACTCTGCAGTTTAGATTTGGAGTTTTAATTGCATGATTGATGCTTAAATTAATTAATTGCAAAGTGTATGCTAATTGTTTAATTGGTCGCTTGATCTATATAGATCATTTTTTGAATTAAATGAGTTGATTTACAAAGTTTATTGATTGGATGTGACAATGAATTATTTCGCTGACTACCTGATTTGCAATTTTCTCAATTAATTCACAAACCTTTGGTTGCAACTGTGCTTTATCGAGAGCGCTCAGTCCAGGTGATCTATATGCACCTTGTCACAAGTAAGACGCTTATTATTTAAAGCAGGTAATAGCGATGCATTACTATTAACATAAGCGGTAAATCTGCTAACAAAAAGGTAATCCGGCAGCGCCTGTCACTATGAATTTTGGAAATTCTGCAATACTATTAAAGAAACATTCATGAGTCTCTGGACTGCTATGAAGAACGGGAACGTTGCTGTAGAATTAATTTTTAACTTCTTCAAGGGTGCTTAAGTAACTTTTAGGGAAACTGGTGAAAGGTAGCGCTGGGAAGAGAATGCAGAGAGCACCGGGGCTCCGGCAAGCAGAGGAGACCTACTCAGCCAGGAGGCGCGCGGGCTGCTTGGTGCCAGTCGTCTTAGGAACAAGCCAAACAAAAAGGCTGCGAAGAATACAGATCGAGCCGATCCTGCTCACGTAATGAGAAATGCCTGGCACGATTGTCGGGTCCTCCTCTCATCCCATTTGGGTCTCTATGAATACAGACACCGAGCTCGGCATGCTCATTCTGTGCGGCTCAGCGTAACTCGGAGTCACCCCACGCCATCAGACTTTCCAGCCTCAACAGCCACCCGATTCCCGTCTTCCCGCAGCTGGGTCTGCCTTACACTGCTGATTTTCTAACCTATTCGCTTGACAGAATTCTTCTATGTGCAGTCTGGTGTGCGCTTAAAGCTCTGTATAAATAAAGTTAACATTTTCATTTGATGCTTGATGCATTTGCATAATTCTCATTAAAGCCAGAGGAACATATAGACACGCAGGCAACGGAACGCGTTCAGCGCGGTCGCAAAGCGATCCAAGTGCCAGAAAACGGTGGTGGTGACAACAACTTATCTTCCACCAATTATACTGAAAATACACAATGTCGGTTAAATCCCATAAATTAAAGGGGTTACAAATGTCTTCAAACGTGGAGTGGGTTCCTGAACATCAACAGAGATTAAACCACAATCTGTGGAAAAAACAAGTCGGATGGGTAAAACTGTTCTGCATTTTAAACCTCCACCAGGAGGAGACCGAAGTCCTGAACTTTAGGCTTCAAATGACAAGGTGCAAAGTCTTGAGAGTCTGAGTTTGCTATGGACAGAAGGTAAAAGTTCAGTACAGCATCTGACAGATGTAATAGCACTCAACTTCTAAAAATAGGAGCTTTATTTGAATTTTGCATCTCACTATTAATTTATTCCTAGAAAGGGACTTTGTTCATTTTTTTCAGACGGAATCATTACAGCACATCTGGCAGGGGTTGGCCAGAGAATGGTCCAGTGGGTTACGACCGAAGTTCCTATGTAAGAGGCCAGGAACAGGGTTGCTAACACTGTCAGTAGTTCCTCATATCAAGACACTGAAGAGAGACAAATACAATACAATTAAAATAAAAAAAAAGCAGCCTAACTGAATACAAAATGTTCTCAAAGCTGTCAACTAGTAGTCACTCATTTCAGACTCTTACATCTACCTTTTAGGAGAAAGAATTAGGCAGTAATATATTCTTTTCCTAAAGACAGAGAGGTTGTTTCTCTTAATTACAAAGTCTACAGCCTCCTCATTATTCTCAAACTGTGTCACTAGTAGGTATATCTGTCATTCTGCACGCACTGTATACCAGATTTGAAGCATTCTCTATACGTATTTTAGTGCAGTGTCACAATGATCCCGGTTTTTTCTTTTTATACTCTAAGCTGTCTAAATCGGGAACAAGCAGAAAATGTAGAATGTGCAACCTACACACGCTCTTTCCTTATTTGGAAATGATGAGAATTAGTCTACAGTTAAATCAATCCTTGCTACAGGACAGGCAGTCAGCACGGCTAAAAAAAGATGAAGGAGGCAGGAGAAATAATTCAGAAGTACACAAGAGAACAAACTTCTTGTAATCTTGAGGCTCTGCCCCTTCCTCTGAGCATTTGTACGCAGCTTCTCAATTGCTGCTGTTAGACTGTTCTCGGGAACTCATGCCTCCATTATTTATTTTATGATTTCTGTCCTGAGATCTGATTACATTAGACAGCCTCCTTGGTCATGATCACTCTCTGACACATCATAACATCTTATCCTTCAAGGCAGACAGTGAAATCCATTTCCTCCCACTGCTGACATTTGCCGTGGGCAATGATGCTTCATGGAATACCTCTACTCATGGACATTGTTCCATTTGAGGTGTGCTGTGCTCCTGAAAAATATACGTGTGTCCAAAGATTGACATTAGTGGTGTCCTACTCGTTAAAAAAAATAAGCTAATCAAACACAAAGGACACTTTTTTGAACTTATAATGAACAGAAATTAGTAACAGCAAATGAAATGGTACCATCTGCAAATAATTTTCTATTTCTTCTCCAGTGCAAAAATACAACAAACCAAACTGAAGTGTTTAACCTCTGAAACATCTCTCATGCTTGTTGGGAAGAGCTAAAGGAAATCCTATATCCAAGGCAACAATATCCATGAAACTGTTTTCAAGAGGGGCTGCTTTTCTGGGTTGCCTTGTACCTACTGAACAGAAATCAACTAATCCTAAAGAAGGGCAGTTCAAGCAACCTCTCGGCACCTCCTTTGCCTACCCTTATGATTGTGCTACTACGGGCGAGAAGACTACCGAGTCCTCAAACACGTCTGAAAAATGCTGAAAGAGCAAACTGTAAAATTCAGTACCAAAAAACCCCATTCATCAAATATTCCAGGAACAACAAAAAAGTGAAACCTGGCTCCTATAGAAAAAAACCAAACAAAATTGTTAACCTTCTTTGCACCAGAAAGTCACCCACTAGTATGTTACTAACAACTCCATAATAACCTATTCTAAGTTCTTATTTTATGTTCTATGACCCAGCAAAAACTGAAGTGTTTTACAGAACTGTTTTAAAACCAAAGTTGCTCAGATGAGTGGCTCTGAAGTACCTGTTTTATGTACCTTATGTCACCTACCATGATGAAGTAACGGCTCTTACTAAACAACACTGGTTCTCCAGCACAGCAAATCCAATCCATTATTTGGTCACAGAAATCTTAGGGGCAGAACTCTTTCACAATGAAGATGTAAGCAACGATTACCAAAGATACTGAAAAATCCATTGATTAACCGAAGCCAAAATTTCTGAGGACAAGACAGATGCTGCTCTTTACAGCAAAGAGCCAATGGGACTGAGGTCAAAGTCTTGTAGAAATTATAAAATACTGCATGACAGAGGTTTTTTAATTAAAGAATGCAACTTTATTCACAATTTTGAAGAAAACTGGTATTTATTTTGTTTTCAGGATCCTTATTTGCATGTCTTTATTTTACTGCTATCTGCAGGATGATAACCCGGAAAGAAAAGCACCTTTAGCTCCTATACCTGTCAATTCTTAGAAAAACAGAAATATTTTAACACGTGTATAATGAATTAAAGTAATTATGTGAGCAAAATGACAGCAGAAAGCAAGTAAGTGATAATGCTGAAGTTCTAAGACGGAATTCTGACTTGTTTTCAGGCATATGCACTAAAATCTATTCTGCGGTTTCAGGAGAACACTAACAGTACTTCCAAGACACACTGCCACGCAGTACAGCAATTCCTCTCTCTACGAATCTGTAGGAGGAACTGGTACCACGCAGGCAAACCAGTCAGAGCCTGGGTGCCTTCCCTCGGAACGAGCAAGAGAGGGAGTTACAGATGAGTTCTGGATCTTACTTGACATCCTTGTGATCTTAGCCATGAAGAACACTACCAAAAAATAGATGGGACATAAAATAAAAAATGTCTCCGTGACACCAAAAGACATAAGATTTATATTATTTTTACATAAAGCATTCTGAAATTATGATTCATTTACAGACCCATGGTTTCATATGCTTATCGTTATACAGTACCCAGTAGTTTAATTGGAAGAGAAATGGATATAGATGCCCGAGTACCGCTCAAAAGGAAATACTGATAAATGTGTAGGTGGTTTCTCTAAGATTTATCTATAAAAACATTGACATGGAAATCCATTTCATTATGCAAAAAGGCTGCAGAGGAGAAAATTAGAGATCAAGAGGTAGTAAAGAAAGAACATTACTTCAGTTTTGGTTCCCGTCCCTCACTTGTATATTGCCAGCATATTAGTCCAATCAGGTCATGCACCTTGGCATTTGCTATCGTCACAACTGTCATGGGCTGTAGTTTGTCTTGGCTTGTGTGCAGTGGGAGGTAGACATCAATTTTTTTGGTTGCCGTTGTACCAACATGACCCTGTCGAGAAAATATATTTCATTAGAATGTATAAAAGAAAAAGTATGACAGAGCTAATACAAAATCTGGTACGGATGGAATTCTTTTCAGTAGGAAGATTAAAATACACTGCTACAACTTAAAATTGGAGGAAGCTTGAACGTTTAAATTCCAATTCTTTTACTGCTGTTTAATCTATCTGTAAAAATGAAATATTTGGCAATAATTTCACAGATTTCCATAAAAAGTCTGAACTTCACTGCAAGATCCCATGTTCTTGCAGGATCAAAACCAAAAACACAAAAAGCATAAGCGGGGGGGGGATGGGGGTGTGTGTGTGTGTGTGAGAGAACCGGCAAGCTACCTAAAACGTCAAAATCATTTTTCCATCAGCATTTAATACTAGCATTACCCTTGTTTCTACATTTCTGCTTTCTTCTGTACCTCTTTCCCGCTACTTGAAAAGCTCATCTCCCTCACGGGCAGAACTACCAACTTACCGTGCCTTATTCCTCCAGCTAGCACTCCTCTCTGGTAGCGGGGCACAGGCACCTTCCGCGGCACTGCCAAAGCAGCCCGTCTCATCACCAGTTACTCCAGTGCTGGAACACGCCAGGACTGCCAACGCTACGTGCTTTTCAACATCCTAGCTCCCCTCCAGCTTTCTGGGACTCCTCTCATCCTCCTCCTTCCCCTTTGCCTGCCTTCCCCGGCTGCGACACCTAAAGGAGTCAAAGGAGCCCACGCCCGGATGCACAACGGGACAAAACGCAGGGGAACGCTCAGCACACGTGGAAGAGGGGACTGGAGCCTGGCCAGCGCGTTCCCACAGAAAGGAGGAAAAGGAAGAGCCCAGCATAGCTGGCGGTGGTCCACACACATACATCAGTGAGCCCTGAACTCCGATCAGGAGACGCCGACGGTCCAGAAGCAGTTACTTGGCTCAGAGCTCAGGTCACAGCCAGCCACACGCCACAGACCGCTCATCCAAGGGAAATCAAACAGGCAACACGACCCGAGCAGAGAACTGTGGCAAAAAGGAACGTCGATCGTATGTGGAGGTTAAGGTGACGCTTACAAATAAACCTTAGGCGTGACCTTGGTTTGCCAAGGGAAGAACAAAATCACACAGCGAACTGAGTCAGTAAACTATTCTGAACTATTTGAAGACAACCAAAAAGGATTAACTAATATTGTTTTTTATTGGAACTTACTGTATTTTAAAAAAAAAAAAAAAATCTATTTGGCACTGTGAAGATTAACAATTAAATAAAACACAAAATACACAGCAACATAAAGATCTATAAAGTTTGCATTACAAGGGAAAAAAGTTTAATCTACTGCAGATAGGACTGCGTTTTTAAACTAGTAATATTTTAAACAGACAAAAGATTGTACATCCCGATCCTCTCTTCAAAAGCAGCCCTGATGTAACTATATATCTCTATACACATATGGGCCTTGAAAGAAGAAAGTATTACCCAAATTAATCACTCAGAATTCTAAGTAACAGAATAAAAGGATTCAGTACTATAAATCTATGACGTATAAAACAGGGAGTTAAATGCCATGTGCTAATTTCAATGTATTGTTAAAAACCATTTGATCCTTCAGTGTGATTATAAATTAGAGAATAGGAATTTAAAGTTATTCCTACTAGCACAGCTAAAAGCGTTATTAAAACACATCCAAATATAATGAATTTGGTTTTTAAGAAAGCATTTTTATAGTGCAGATACCTCCTCTTCCCATGTTTTTAAGGTAAGAAAAATTGGTTTTACTCATTTAAAAGGAAATGTTAGATTTGTAACAAAACGCGGGACACTCCCTCCCCTTGTTCGGATGAGCCCTAGCAAGCCTCTGGATGAGCTAGTGAGCTGGAGCGCCCGAGACAGCTGCCACCCACACCCATGACCTCACCTCTCCCAGGAGATCGTTATGAACACAACAGAACTACAGCTGCTAAAAAACAAGGGGATTTTGCTTTCTTTCCTTCTTTCTCCTCTTGCTTTCCTACTTACAGGACGTATTTTTAAGGGGAATTAAGCTTGTACCAGGCAGTGAATCACCGCTCTCAAAGCCCATCCCCGTCTCTGCCCAGGTGCAAACGCCAACCAAGGGAACGTACAAACACGCGCGAGGCTGCATCGCTCGTGTCATGGCCATGGCTGGAGATACCAGCCACATCAGGAGACCTGTTGTTTCAACTACATTTGCGTCTGAATGAGTAAATAGCAGTTATCAAGGAAATTAATGTGACTCCTTGGCATGCTAAGTTAGTTACATATTTATATCCAAGGATGGCAGAATCATAACTAATGCTTAGTCCCGATAATGGAAAAATCCAAGAAAAATTGACAACCAGATGTGAGAGTCGATGCCAAGGGTACAACTGATGTACATGGCATAAAAAACAGAGAACGGACAAGCGAGCTGGGAACTGTAACTAATAACCAAAAAGACTAGATTATTCCATTAGCCACTACTACCAGTACAGGCTGTTTTATAAGCTCCTAATCCAACAAACACATGTATTTATAAAACCATCATGTCTTAGGGACCCTGATCTTACAGCGATCACAAATAAGATGGCAACTTTCCTGGGTCTACCTTTCACAGTGCGTCTCTTCCTTTGCCCTACGCTGTGCTGTTGCTTTGTGTTTGTTTTTTAAATAAACTTTTCTTTGTTCCTCCCCATCTCTGAATCTCCTCTACTCCAGTCTATTTTTACCATCTTGCTTGTCCAAACTCCCTCCACTACTGATATCCTGGCTCTCTTATGGGCAAACACTCACATGAGCATCAAGATGACGGGTGACTTAAGCCAGGGGTAATTCCCACGCGTGCTAGGATTGCGACCGCTCTGAGCAAGGGAGCGATACCAACAGCAGCAGTACTGGGAAATGGCTCCGCAGCGTCACTATTATACTCGGGATCTTTAAAAAAAGCGAGTGAAATATTTTAATTAAAAGCGCTATAAAACTGATTGCCGTAAGATATTAGAGAGGCTGAAACCTGAGATTTGGAAGCCGATTAGACTTTCCGTTAGTAACGAGAACATTGCTTGTCACGTTAGGCAGGAAACGTTAGCATGGCCTATAAACGCGTGGGTCAAGGCTGAGACCGATCAATCACCAAGTCAAAGGGGTCTGGAGGAAGCCACCACCGTGCTTATCGCAAATTGATGATACTTGTTCTGAACCAGCACCAGAAATCCACAACATCAGGTACCTGTCTACAGGACGGAACGAATCCACATTCGTGGTCTGATCCTGCAAAGTATTAATTGCATAGGAAGTCCCACAGAGCTCAATTACTTACCTGTGCAAAGCTTATTAGGCGAGGATTTGTAGGAGGGGGACTGAATAAAAGGGATCCAATTATTAGTCTCAGTGGCCAAGAGTCAAAGACCTAGCCACGCTGGATTTAACTAGTAATAACTTGTGGGTTTTATATGGTGCTTGTAGTCTCTTCTTCAGGAGGAATCATTCAGAACCAGATTACAGACACTACTGGAAGCGTAATTACTTTTTTCTCCCAACTAAAAATTGTATTCCAACTGTAAATGCTGAGGAGACCCAGAAGATAAAGTACAATTACCTATATTCAAAAAGGCAACATCAAACTTTATTAATAGATCCTGTATAAAATTCAATGGAAAATCTATTCAGGGCCAGGGGCCCTACCATTTGGAGTTTCCTTAATAGCCTCCAATAAATCTGGGAAGCATAAAGGGGCTGTTAAATTAACATTTTCCTGATCTGTCACCTGTGGCATAGTTAATTTGTCAAAAAATTCTTTTAGCTTGTCACTGGACACTGTATATTCTGACAAATGGAGTCTGGAATAAAATTGACAAAATATCTCGTTAATTTTCTAGGAAATCACAAATCTGATTCCATTAAGCTTTTATTGTTAGAAATGTTATATTCCACCAATCCTTTGAGGAAGTGAGGAGTAACTGGGTACACAGAAAACATACAATAAATCACAGAAAAGTTTCGTAGTATTTTTATTAATGGATTCTCTTAAGGCTACCTAGTGCTCTCCTACAGTCTGATCTTACGAAAATTTCCGTTTGCTATTTCTATAGCATTTTCATCTCACTCAAAGCAAAGACGATGTTTCATCATCTGCAATTCACTGGAGGAGACATGGCGCTGTGCAGGGTACACAGGCTCAAAGAGGCAAAAACACAGAGACATTATTTCCAAATTACTGCTACCGTGGCGTGCACATAAACAAATCACTTCATTTCTTTACATTTCTGTTTTCTCCATCTCTGTCGTCAGAATTCTCGGCGGTTGGCACATCGTAGTTCTTTGGCACATTACGGCTATTCTTTCCTGTTGCTATTCAAGAGCTGCACAGAGTTATGTCTGCTATTTGACACTGCTGAAAAGTACAGGCTGCTGAATTCACCAACTTTCTGCTTTCTATTTTTTATAAGTTAAATTAAGCAGATCAATGTATATTTATGCACTTTGATAATAAGCAGCAGCTAAGCTTAGGTAAGTTATTCCTGTTAATAAATAAATTTCTTCTGAAAGAACAACTTGGTATCTAAGACTACTGCTCCTGTGAATCCATGCTTCTCCTGTTGTCTAAAATAAACGCAGCCACAAAATAGTACAGCAATATTTGGGGATATATAGTAACAGTAGTCGGGCTAATTACAAGAACATAAGCAGCACCAACAGCTCGTACATATGTGCTGGTACTTCTAGACAAGAGTATGAGTGAAGGATATGACACGCAACCAAAATGATGAATTTTCATGGATTTTCTAGGATTGTATTTGCGAGTTGTGGTGTTTAATTATATAAATACTGGTTACTACAATTATGTCAGAAAAACTGCATATAGAATGATCTTCATTGGCTACATATAATTTTAGAAATATCTGTATCATTAAATAATGTTCTGTAATAAAATTAATATGCTTTAAATATAAACACAGTATGTTAAATTAAAAAAGAAAAAAATACACATTTAAACTCTATCAATTCTTTCAACATAAG